GAATTCATTTATTATTATTTTTTGGACTGGATTTCCAACATCATGAACTTTATTGACAGTTTGACTCTACTATTTTTGACGCTGTCAGCTGTCAAGGTGAGTGTGTTACTGGGAGCAAAACTAAAAGGGGGAGGTGGGAAGGAAAGAAAACAAAACAAAACAGATCCATTGACCTTCATTTGTGGTCATTAATGTGCAGCTTGTCCTTGTCTCTCTCCTTCTAGGTCACCGTTCAGATCAGATGTTTTGGTAGCTTTTTTTATTTCCTTTTAGTAGCTTTTACGCACAGGGAACAAGCGTCACGCCGCAAAGCCTTCCGCTCACAAGTGGTGCGTTTTGTTGTGTTTCGTTTTTTTTCTTTTGCTCCAAATCAAGTAACTGTTTAAAGCACTTTAAGAGAACTAATGTTGTGAAGTTTGACGCGGACTGTGCAGGCCTTGGAGATATTATTACGCGTTAAAGGCGCAGTGGCTCCATTCTGCATGGGTCAGGACATGTGAGCAGGTTCACCACTCTTTGCTTCCAATTTTTTTTTTCTTCTTCTCAACTTGAACTTCCAGTTTGAACATTTTTCATGAACCTGAACACATGCTGGTTCGTTTTCAAGTGGCTGTTTGAGCCTGAAAATAATCATTAATGGAGCGGTGGTGGCAGCGCTTTGAGCAAAGGTTTTCAAGGTAACGCACCGTTCCAAGAGGTGGCTGCTGTTTCCCGGGACTTGATTGGACTTTTAAAGATAATTCCCCCCCTCCTCCTCCACAACTCTGCCACTTTAAGAGAAAAAAAAAACTTCCCAGCTTTGGTTTAGGCTGCCTCTTTTTTTTATTCTCACACATCTAAATCGAATAAAAACGTTTGTTTGAAACGCTGACAGCTGATTGAAGCGCTCATCGGTGCCATTATTAATACAATATGGTGTTTTACGGAGGTAGGGCGTAGGAGGGAGGGGGGGGTCTCAGCCCAGAAGGTTGGACCCTCTCACGCCACCAGAAGTGGGCGGAGCCTACAAATAAACCAATCTTTTCCTTCTTAGCAAAAAAAAAAAGTGTTTCATCGGGGCTCATTCAGCAGTACATGCCGGTGTTGTGTCGTGTTCTGTTCCTCCAGCAACTTGGCTTCCCACCCTTTAAACCCCCCCTTGTTTCTCCCCAAAAAATGCATTTTAAGTGGGGGGGGGAAAAAGCTATTTATTTTAGTTCAAAGTAGCAGGAGGAGCTCAGTAGGGAAAACATGGTGACACATGTGCCCAACGCTCGCATGTGAGTCATTACGTCATGACGCACACATCCAGAGAATTTGTTTTAATTGGGAGTGCGTGCCAAATATTTGCGCAGCGCGCGCTCACGGGATGGGTCTCCACGCAGCACCGGTTCAACGGAAGCAGGTCTCATGCAATACTGGCGAGGTGTTGCGCGAGCTGCGCGCGCTTCTGTGTGACAAAAGGGGGGCGGGGGGTAGAGAAAAGGGTGCGTGCGTGTGTGTGTGTGTGTGTGTGGTGGGGGCCGCTTAAATGGGAGAGTTGGCCTCTCCGCTGTGGTGACAGGCTGACATTCCTAATGGTGTTAATGGTAGTGAAAGAAATGCTTTAAAAACGCACGCGGCTCCAAAGTYTGGGGRAAGTTTTTGCCACGTAGTTGATGAGGCAGAGCTGAGGATCAGCCCGTCTGGCACGACTTGCCTTTGCCCAAATAAAGCCACCCACTCTTATTTAGTTTTAGTGGTCTGTATAACAGTTATACAGCTTTAATGAAGGGAGTGATGGCACAGAAAGTGATGGGTTCTCTAGTTCTAATGTGGAAGCAGGGATCTTGTTTGGATGGTGGTGAAGGGAGAGAAATGTCAAATTGCACATCTAAACTTTTGCACAATTTGGATAAGTGAAGGGCAGTTTTGTTTTGTTTGAAATTTTCTGACTTCTTACACAATCAACTGTTCCTAACAGCAGCTCTTGTTTTATTTCTTTTCTCTTACAGAGTGCCCACATACCGAAGGAAGCAGAAAGAGGTCCACATGACGGTAGGTGTCCCACAGGGCACCGTGGGAATAGTTTTTGCTGGGCTCCCAGCTTGGCTTGCAGCCAAACACACTGAGTCTCTTGGTTTGAAATTTCACCTCGACATTAAAAGGAAATCACCGCCCCCTGGTGGAGAAGTGTGTATTGTCATCCTGTAGGTCAAAGGGGGATAGTATAGTCAATCAAAACAAATCAGCTGAAAATATGTATATTTATAGCATTACCTATATTTCTACCTGTGTAGATTAATATAAAATACATTTGTGAAGTAAGACAAAAATAGATTATTGACCAGTTTAACCAACAACTGGCACAGAGGGTAAAGATCTCACTGGTTTGAACCCAGTTCCAGTATTTTCATTGTTGAGTTTGTGTCTTCTATCCACCACAGACCAAAAACCTGCATGTTGGGGTTAATTGGTTCCTCAAATTGTCACTCTGAGTGAAAATGGTCTTCGCCCAGTGATCGCTGGAGATGGGCACCAGCTTGTTGAGACCTTGAGCGGAAAAACAGGCAACAAAAATTGCCGTATAAAGTAAAATAAGTGCTTTAGTTTGCATTTCAAACTGTCAAACTACAATTTTTGCTTATAGAAAATTAACTATTTGCTCTGCTTTCCCTTTTTCTTTCCACTTACCAAGTATCTATTTAAATTTAATCCCGTTGAGATCACAGATCTCTTTTGTAAGGGAAGCCGGGGCCTGAAGGCAACCAAACATGTAAGGTTTGGGRAAAAAAGTGTACCCGGAGAAAACCCACACAGAAAATAGGCAAACGCCATATCAAAAGATACTGGGTCCGAACTGGAGAATCGAACCCCCAGGACCTGTTTCCTGTGAGGAAATAGTGCGAACCACTGAGCCATAGTGCTACCAAAAAAAATCCCAGTTTGAGTCCAAGTCCAAACCCYTACTGGAGAGATTTGTGTTCGCCCCTAAAAGCGTCAAAGGTTAATCCGAGGAAATGTTTTGGTCACCACTTGTGTTTTTTTCTTTTCGCAGAACAAAATGTCACCCTCTCCTTTCACCTCACTTGCTCTTTACTTTTCTTTCTCTTGCACAATTGCCCAAAATGAATTTGATCAATCCTGAGCTGGAGTTCAGTGTGTTTGGTTTTGGCATCCCAGAAGGCCATCAGGCTGGGCCTGATGATGATGAGGATGTCTTCAGTGATGTTTCAGTGGTGTTGTCAGTCCATGTGCTAATATCTTTCTCAAGAGCCAGACTCCTGCAGAGACAAGCAGGAGGGGGAGTAGACTGAAGGTGAAAACTCAGACAAGTGAGCTATAAAAAATGAATATGACGCTGAAGTTTTGTGACGGGGAGGGCGGGGGTCCCCGTGGATGAGTTTAATAACTCGTTAATGGCAAATTATGTAAGTGTTGGTAAAAGTAGGCTGATCTGCGTTTGCTTGTGTAAACTGAGTGCCGTGGAGTGTAACAGTAGGAATTAAAACGTGTGTGTGCACGTCCGCAGAGTGTTCCCACTTCACCCTTTCAGGCCGCTGTGCGCCTGCCAGCGTTCGATTCAAATTGCCACTGAGGTGTGTTGTGTCGCTTCCCCAGAACCGACATGCCGGTTGTATAAATCGGCTCCCTTTGTGTCCCCACAGCGATCCCTTTGATGGAGGTGTACAACAAGAGTTTGTGTCAGCCGCGGGAGGTGCTGGTGGATATCCTACAGGAGTACCCGGAGGAGGTGGAACACATCTTTATCCCGTCCTGCGTGGTGTTGAAGCGCTGCGCCGGCTGCTGCGTCGACGAGATGTTGCAGTGCACGCCGACGGTCACCTATAACGTTACAATGGAGGTAAAACTTTGCATCGCAGGGTTTTTATTCAAAGTTCAGCTGGATCGGGAGGCTTTTGTGAGCTGTCGGGTTATATAAATGGTTTAAATGTCACTCCAAGGGGCACAAGTCCACCTAAGCTGAGAACCCTGATGGGGCTTGGCATTTAAAAAGCCCCTGTGATGCGTTCAAGTGCACATAGTTTAAAAGGCTAATCAGACTATCAAGCTGGTCTTCCATTTCTATTTTTGCAAATGCCCTTTATCAGACTCTGCATTTATGTTTTTGAATCCTTTAACTGGTAAATTTATGAGATTTTAGTCTTTATTTTGAGTCAACCTAAGCAAAGAAAATCTTTTTTTGGTCCAGATCTCATTTCTTCAACTGGATTTAAACATGTCAACAAATCATAGCCAGAAAGTTGGTGTTAAGCATCTTAAATGTCTTGTTTTTGATACGATCCTTTTCCCTTTTAGAGATTTTCAGCCAATCAGGAGCTCCCAGTTAATTCACATTTGATAAACGTAGAAATGCTATTGCTTTAAGTAAATTCTGAATTTTTATCGAGCTTTTGCTTTCTACTTTTTAGCAACATGTTTTTTTACTTGTACATCTGCAACTTACTAAAATCTTTCTCTCTCCCTCTCTGTTTGTTTGTTTTACAGATTAAAAGAATAAAGCTCCAAAGGCAACAAAATAACATTTTCATGAGTTTTACAGAGCACAGTGCATGTGAGTGTAGGTAAGAAACCTGAAACACAAACAAACACACCACTGAAAGCCAAATCACTGCTCCATTGTGTAGCCGGGCAGAACCGTGGCCAAACACACCATGTGAACTTATTGTATTCAGCTCGCCCCTGACACATTCGCTAGATACAAATCCCACAGTATCTTATCTCCGTTCCTTCCAGTCGGCTGATTCTTTTGAAAAGAGAGTCCGGAGCAGGTTCAAACATATAACGCCGTGTTTTCGAATTTTACATCATGCCACGGCATCAATGCGGTTCTGTTGCATGTAGAGGTTCTTCCTAGAACTTTAGGCTCTGTAGCCAGCAAATGGGGACAAATTATATATTTACATCACCATTAAATTAGCATTATATGGTTATTTTGACAGGTTTTTTTTCGCTGCTGGAAGTGCACTGATAGTGCTACAGCTAGCTGCTGCCGCCTCTGTTTGCAGTCGCGAAAAAACAGTGAGTTCTACATAAGTTTTTTACAGCAACAGATATAAATGAGCGTTCTCGAGAACTGGTTTTTACCTCGCTCAGATTAGCTCATCAATATGGTCAGAAATTATCCCTGATTCTTCTAATCGAGGCTTTCACTTGAGCCGAAATATTTCCGTTTTATGACGTTAACGGTTATTGACATTTTATGTTTTAGTTTAGTAGCTTTTAAAGGACAAAGTCGTCACTTTATCATCTAGTATGTTTGAATGACACTGCGTATTTCTTGACTGACAGATGCAATGTAACAAAAAGTTACGAACTTGAGCATTTTTTGTTTTCACGATTTGACACATTTATGGTTGAAGTTTAAGACACCACCTCGACATCGCCAAATGGAATAAGCTGAAAACAAAAACAGGTTACTGTACTTTTCTAATTTATTTGATTTAAGAAAAGCATTTTTTCTGTCAATTACCTGACAGTAGAAGTAAGGAAGGTGACTAAAAGCGAAACAACAATCAAGTCAAAGTAATCATCACCAGATCCGTCACTCGTCCTTGAGCTCGTGTTGTTACACAAATTAGTTTAGATTTTTTTTCTCATACTCAGACCCTTCGTGTTTGCAGGGATTTGAGCTTTGACGCAGTGGCTCAGTGGGGATGTTCACTGTCCTCCCATTTTAATGGATCATCTCGAAAGAAAACAAACAGCAGGGACGACAGCGCTGACCGAGGGCAGAACGGAGTCACTCAATCCTCACTTACGTCTCTTATTTGCGTAACTTGCTCAACCTTAAACGTCTCTCTTAGGGAAGCACTCTGGCAGTTTATCAAACCTCCAACTTTAGAGAAATCTACAAAACAAGCTGCCCCCTATCTGTCACCGTTTAGTTTTATAGACGTTAATTAGTTTATTCAATTTGTTAGCTTAAATTTATGTAAAATAAAATCTACTTAATTCATTTAAAGTCTAATTCTAAAACAACATCCTGTTTCATTTCTAGTGCCAGCACTTTACTAATACTGCATCACTTTAGAACTCACAAGGGCACAATAAAATAAACCCACTTAATAAAAATATCAAACATTTTCCACTACAAAAACAAGGATTTTACTTAAGCAGAAAATCACCTCTGTATTACTTACTTTTATGTGCTATCCTTTATAATAGATCAGTTTTTTTTTTTTTTTTTTTTTTTTTTTTTGGTTGACTGAGCCAGTCTTTGGCAAGCAGAAAGTTTTATTTGTTACAGATTCTTGATCTGTTTACCAGGGTTGTAACTCATTCTCCACTTTGCGGAGTTTCATGACACTAAGTGGACAAAATGTTTGCTTGAAGAAAACTGCTTAAAACTGCGAAACTGATAAAAGAATCAGCCTTGATGACAGATCCAGAAAGTCTCCTTTTAGATGATGAGCATGCATTTCTAGCTTCATGGTTTCTATAGTTTTATATGTGGATTTGTTGCTCCAGCCTGTGAAACAGAAACTTGGCCATAAATCCACAACCATCTTTAAAAAAACAAAACTTACTGTTTCCTAACGTTATTGGCAAACTGCTGCCCTCAGAGCATGCCAGCAGATTTATTGCTCCACATCTTCTTATCGCCAGAAGCCGTCACATGAACGAGAAGTGAAACAAAACTTTCAGCCCTCCATTGTGGACGTGTTTTGTGTGAGAGTGTGGTTCCACAGACAAACCCACCCCTCTGCGTCCCCCCAATCACCTCCAACATTATTTCCTCTGTTTCTTTTACTAAGCCGGGCATATAAAAGCCAGTTTTTAACCCAAGTTCCGTGTAAATGACACCGATCAAAGTGATGTAACATGATCGGAGGAGATTAAAGTGAGTCACCCCATGCTGAAAATCGGTCTCTAATGGTCTCAACGCGTATCTGTTAACAAGTGAACAATCGACATGCTGTGTACTAATGTCTTCTTCTTTTTGTTGCCTTTCAGGTCAAAGACAGAAGTAAAAGAAAAGTGAGTACCGCAGCTCTTTCTGCATGGAGTTTGGGGAATATTGAGGGAATATTGAGGGATGGGGGACAATGAGCGACTTGAGATTTGACGTTGCTTTGTACACAAGCTCGCTCTCAGTCGTCTGCAACTCTCAGCCTTTGTGAAAATTGACTGTAAAACACCTAATTGTTTGTTAATTTCTCACTAATTTATTAAAAAATTTTCTTGTTTTTTTTTTTTTTTTACAAATCCGTAACTATTTATAATCTAATTTAATAAACTACATGTAATCATCTCATGAATAGCATGAATTAGCATGTTGTGCTCAGATAATGAACACAAGGAATGCCAAATAAATCATCAGGTGAATGACTGACTTGATGAAGCCATTTTTCTGACTGTACACATTTTTCTGCTCTTTTCATTGTTCCATTCCTCTGTTACCTTTTTTATTTTACATCCCACTCATCATCTGTTACCTTTGCTTCTCTGTTATAAATAAGTGTTTTTGAAGACCTGTTAGTGTTTGGTCGTAGCTAAGTGAGCCTCCTATCCCATGCATCACGAGTCAGTGTTCTAAAGGTCATTAAAGACCTTTAATCCTCCGAGTTGTCGTTACTATTTTTTTCATCGTGCAGTTTTTGTCGGTCACATTTTTGGTTTTATGTCAGGTCGTCCGTCATATAGATAAGACTCGGCTTTGAGACCTTCTCTTTAACCTTGTCTTGACTGTTTACAAGTCTGGCTTTAGTGGCGTGCTTCTCCAAAGTAATGGTCCTCGGGGTCATTCAACTTGTTTCTGAAGGCGTCGTATGTTCACGTTAGCCTTATCACTGGCTGTGAACCTCTTCAAGAGGTTTTCAAGTTTGTCAGGGTGACTCATCCCACTGAGGTTGTGAAACCAGTTAACTGTCAAAGTCCACAGAGAAATTGGACCTGACCTCCTGTGTCGTTTAGAAGAGGAAGCCTTTACATTGACAGACATCCTGTTGCGTTGACCCGTTGGAGTTTTATATGTCGTTTTGTACCCATTGGCACCATTTCTGACTTCTGCTCTCGTTATGCTATCATGTTTGGCTACAAAGGGTTTCCTTGGAAAAAGTAAAACAATATTTTTAACACGTTAGCACATTTGGGTTTTGGGATGGCTATGTTGTCGGCTGCTTTTTTTCCAAGCTAAAGGTTTTCTACTTTTTGTTTTTAAACCTTTGTGGACCCCAGAGGATTAATCCTGCTGGTGGATTTTGGGTTTTATGTAACAAGAACTAGTCMGGGTTATCTTGGCCCATGAAAACTGGAACACATTTAAGTCCTGCAGAACAAGCAAAGTAATGAATCAAGTCCATATTGGTTTGATTAATGATTAAATAACACTCCAACCAGCTTCAGTTACTCCTCCAAGTCTTGTTAATTTGCAGCTGTTAGAATGCTAACACACTAAGCTAAATGCTAGCAAYGCTAAACGTCAACATGCTGACGCTATAATTTAGCTGAAAGAGCCAAAGGACTTAGGCCAGTTTTCACATAACGGCTAGCATGGCTTCAAAAGTGAGAACTCATATTGTTTAAAGTGGAACTTCTCTGTGGGAAGGTTAAAAACACAAAATTTTGTTGCGATAAAGATAGCTCTTTGGTTTGAATAGTCTTTGTTTGTAKAAGTATTTCTAACAGGATTGACGAGCTAATGGCTAGTCCAGGCCAAGGGCCTAGTGGATTGGTGTCACTTTTAAAAAACTCCCGTCTCAAAATAAAGTATAGCTGTTTATCTAAACCTTTACACTGTCTTCAGTTTTGCATAACATTTATTCTGGCAGAAATATTATGAAAGCTCTGCTGGAAGTGCATCAACTAGCTAACTGCAGCTAATTGAGCTTCCAAAAACAAACAAAAAATTGAATTCTGTATAAAACAGCTGTGTAATGTGAATTTGACAGCAGTGTAAAGATTTTGAAAAAATTGTGTTGGCATTACAAACTGTGCCAGTTTTGAAACTGGAGCTTAAGGTGGCAGCAATCCACTTTTCAGATTAGCCATCAGTTCATTAATCCAGTAAAAATTAAACTCTTCAAATTGACATTGTTCAAAGGACTATTTGTTCATAACCTTTCCACTGATCTCCTATTCTGAAATTCAGAATTATCGCTTAAATTTTTTTTTTTCGATAATACCGCCACAATGATCTTGTCTCTATAACATATGCTTTCTGTGTCGTACCTTATTGGCTTTGAGCTTATGGTGAACAGGTGGAAGGAGAGGCAAGTTATCAAATATTTAGAAAAATAAGGTTTAATGAAAGGAACTTTCAATATTTCAAACTTCAACATCGAAATATGAAGCTGTGCACCAAACCTAATGCAAAAACTTTACATTATAAAAAACATTAGAAGAGAGGATATCATAAAACCTAAAACATTTGTGGAACGCTTACCTCGTAAGATAATTATATTACCACCATTTCTTTACCACAGCTTCTTGTAGAAACTTGGTTATTATTGGCTTAAACTTAACCCTCCCAATAAAAAATGGACCGATGTGCTGTAAATGCACCTAAAAATAAYGTTTTTTGACTCTTGTTCTTTTAAACATGACTAAAGTTTAGTCTAATACCAGGGGCCAGGTGTGTGAAACTTGTGTAGATTCTAATCTAAAATATGTGAGTTCACAAGCAATCTTTTTGTCATTTTTTTTTTGAAGCAGCACATGTGTACGGTCCTGTTGTATAAATCCTCATCACCGTGAAGTTGTGTGCACATAAATAAGCCAGAGTTACATTCCACTCATGACCCATGAATGGATGTATAGACTCTAATAAATCATTTACATATTAAAGGGGAAAAACATCACACGTCATTAGATGAGTCCAAGTACAATTAAGCAGAAAGAGGACATAAAGATTTTTAAATGTGACTTATATACCCTTAAATTTGAGCCCATTCTCACTGGGCATCTTACAGTTACCAGCCTGTCCAGTAAAGAAGCACACATATTTTGCCCACACATTGTTTATACATCCAGCCCTTTGTATACGCCACATAAGCACACTTCTGTTTGTTGTCATTGTGCTCTTCTGAAGCAAGTTTGAATCAGCTCTAAAGAGTTGACCCAGATATGTTGAAAGATGCCGTTTTGGTGAAGTCCAAGCCTTTTGTCCTCAATTCATCCGGGAAATTTCCGCCCACGACAAGCCCTCGCACTGTTAATTGGTTTCACTCTTTGCAGAGTCATTGTGCTGGTTTTGGACAAGCTTTTTGTAAAAAAAAAAAAAAAAAGTCTTTTGAAACCAGGTTGGACAATGAAATATCTTTTTCTCACAGATCAAACTGTGGGATGTGGATCAATCGGGGTGTTTCTTCTTTCTCCTTTTTTTCCCTCAAAATAAGGTCATGGAAAGCACCGGGAGAGGCCTGATGCTTTTTTCATAACCTGAAAAGTTGATTCTCTTAGAGTTCGGACTATAGAAAAATCGAATTGAGTCTGTTTTGACCGACAACTTGTCCTGATTGCTAAATTACCATTATCATACATTCTGATTGATCATCATCACACGTTTCCTTCAGCAATCATCAGTTCAAGATGTTAACGTATCAGTTCATCGTTTACGTCAGTCTCTCAGGCATCTCTCTGCCTTGTTGTCCTCTTTCTCTTGCAGACCACCTGGGAAAGGCAAGGGCAAAGGCCAAAAGAAAAAGCGAAAGAAAAACCGCGACAAAACAATTCACGATGCGTATGTCAGCTCCGCCTTCTCCACCTACCTGCACCTGAGTGTTGCGCTTCTCATAATTAAGCTAATTTGGGAGGAGCTCTTTTGCCTTTTTTAATTTGTACCATTTTAATTCACCCGTCAGCCATATCAATTGGCATGTCGCTTACGTGTATTGTCCTAACATTGTCTCATCAGCCATGCTTTACAAATTGAAAGACAAAAAAAATCATGAAAGTTGGCCAGGAATGGATACTAATGTAACCTTTTTTAAAGTGTGAAACACCTTACAAGGAAAATGATCAACTTTTTTAAAAAACAATGATCATCTAACCTGAGAACGTTTGAAAGAATGTGTCTGAGACTGGACCAATGATTGGGTTGAGAATCACCAAATCTAAACACTTTGTTCAATAGTTAGACTGATTGATAGACTCGTTAATAGAAGCTGCGATGATCAGATCTGAGATCAGCTGTTTGYTAAAACCCGAATCTTGTACTGCAACAGATCCCAGATCCACCAGCATGGCTTTAGAGACCGGCTCATTTTATCTGTTATCTGTGCTGGGATCGCCAAGACTGTAATCATGGTCCTGTCTTCAGTGTTGAGTCTGTGCTGCTTTGCTGTGTCTCATACCCGTCTCCGTGCTTCTCTTTGTTCTTTTACATCTTTTTAAAAAGTTGTTTTTGTTGCTCTGTGCCAAATGCCGGTACCTTTTTTTCATGTAATGTGAAGATATGAGTGATTGCTATCTATTGCTTTCTCTTTTTTAAAATATATTTTTCCAAGTACTGTTTTTTTTTTTTGTTTGGATGTTTGCCTACTTTTGTGTCTGAAACCATGAAAATAACTTATATTTAATTCAAAAACTAATATAAAAGTGACCTCATTGTTTCTCCAGTGCACAAACTGTGAACATGTTCTGTCTGTATGTGCATTTTGTAAATTGTATAATGTGAAGCCAGTGGTTTATCTGAGCCTTAATTCTTGTAATGAAGTGTAATTTAGACCACTTTCGGCTTCTGTTTGTTTGAATCTCATGTCTTCTCTGTGGAAAATGCAGCCTTTAGTTTTCTCTCAATAAAATGAAATTGTTCTTAACGTTACACCAAACAGACCCCCGAGTTTTCTTTGTCAGGGTTTGACCGTTTTGGGAGGAGTGTGCTGTCGGCGATGTGCTAGCTCGGAGCCATTTTGTGTCATTCTGTGTTGCATGAAGTCGTCTGGAGTTTTGCTCACTGCACGTCTAACCCAAGTTGTCTGTTGAGTGGTGCGATTGAWGTGAAAGGGATGAGGGGCTGGGTGATTCTAAATTTGTCTGCTCTGGGGCTACCTGTGTGCAATACTTTCCAAGTATAACACACAGGATGACCCGGAAGTGGATTAAAAAAAACCTTAGGGGTGACCCATCATAGGAGATGATAGTACCCTGTTATAATCTGCCTCTCTCTCTCTTTCCTCCCCATCTCTGTCCATCTGTCTGTCTAGTGTCTGTGAGCCATGTTGTGATAACTGCACAGAGCGGAGAAAGCGTTTGTTTGTGCAGGATCCAGCAACCTGCCGGTGCTCCTGCAAACACACAGTTGAATACTGTAAAGATCGCCAGCTAGAGCTCAACGAGAAGACCTGCAAGTAAGCGTGTGACCGCTGGAGCCCAAACTCAAGATAGAACATTTAGATGGCATTTCTTATAACACAACTAACTGAACATTCAGCTGGGTTGCAGCTTGGTAGCGGCTACCGTAGTTGGCTTGTTACCCCTTGTTTCCATTGGACGCCATTGCACCTTTTTTTTTTAAATCTTTTTTGTTTGTTTTTGGGTTTTTTTGTTGTTGTTTTTTCTGGCTGCCAGTTTGGTTTTTGTCCCAGTCTTGTTGCAGTTTAATTTGACACCAGAGGAGAGCTTCAGAAGTAGACCATATCATTGGCTAGACTGCACAAGTCCGATTAAGTCGAGCTAAACATCATAATCTGTGTGTTTTAGGAAATCAAATAACTTGCCACTTGCCTTCTACTCCCAAAACTCCTCAAGGTAAATTCCGCAACTTGTCCTGTCTAGCATTTCCTTTTATTTAAAACAAATAAATCACTTAGTGTCATATGTCGTGTGYTTATCAGTGGCTAAATCTCCCATTGTTTTTGTTTGAAATTCTCTCAACTAGCTTAAATGTTGGTTAATGGGTTGCACTGATTTAGGGACAGACTTTTTGACGGTGTTTGTATGTCTTTCTTTCCATTTTGTCCCATTCGTTTCTCGTTGATGAGGTTTGGATCTGAAAACTTGACCATTTGTGTGACAAAACCCAGGGACAGGGAACAGAACAGGGAACGYGTTGCAGCTGCATCTGGTGAAAACAAGGGGTCAGACTGAGCAGTGCAACGCAGCATTTCACTGTTTCACTGCATGTCATCTTCTTCTCCACACCTGTTTCCTTCACCATCTGTACAAGCCTACTGTTTTAAACAACTCAAACATAAGCTGCCTAAAAAAACTAACATTAAAATAATGAGTTAGGATGCTTTACGTGGGAGCAGTAAAATGAAATTCTTTAACCGCATAGGTTTTTTTGTAATCATTTTTTGGTTTYATAATGTGCCCTGAGATAACTTTTATTGTGAACTGGCGCTGTATACATAAATTGAATGTTTTGTATTATTTTATTATTTRTTAATAGTGTTAAAGGTGCTGCTTGTAGAAAAAACTCCACAAAGAATCAACTTTCGACACTGAGTCTTTCGCAACTTCAGTGTTTTTYTGCTCTTTGCATTGATTCATTTTTTTAACTGTTCACAACCTAGCAGAAAGTTTTTCAAAAAATCTACGCTTTATTTTTAGCTGGAAAGCACCAAGCCCTTAAGGAACAAACAACAACTAAAACATGTAATTGGCTTGTTGATATGGTAAATGTATTCCTTTATAACTTAATTATATAAACTGCTAGTCTCAAAATGTTCATTTTGTGAATTACGTCCATTTTTAGAAAGACACCATGTGGTTGACAAACACTGGCTGCTTATTTTCTTACTCTTCTGTACTTGCTGTAGTTTTTTTTAAATGTACTGTACTTTCCCAGTTTATCTCTGGGTACAATTTTCAGTAATAAATTAATACTTTATGAGTCACTACATTGTGTTGAGCTAAATTCAAGCCTCCAGGATCTGAGTTGCTATACAGTAAATACCAAAAGAACTCGAGGTTTAATATAATATACCTGTCAGAGTTTAGGTACCTTACTGCCAATCAGATTTCTTGTTAATCTTTTTTCATCTTGTGTCTTTTCTTATTGTTCAGATGTGACAAGCCAAGAAGATGAGAGAGGTGGCAGCACCAGATGTACAAGATGAAGGAATATTCTAAAGATATTTCACAGCACAGCACTTTGACCTTTGAACCGTAAGCTCTTTTCTGTGGAAAGCATTCCCCTGGGACTGACAAAGAACAAAGAAGGACTGGAGTTTCCTCCCGCTGTATATCTGTGTGTACATAGACCATAATATAAGAGAGAGAAAAAAACGAGTACATATTTGTTATGCTGCTACAGAAATGAATAACTAAACCCATCATTTGACTAAAAATGAACTAGCCGCCTTGTGGTTTTGCATTTCTAACCGGCTTGTGATGCAGGTGTAGTCTTATTGTCGATTCATTGTATGCAATTTCTTCACTGGATACGAGTCTACTGTGGTTGTGTGTCAGTCATAACAAGCAAAACCTCTAGATATATTTAAATGCTATGACAGCGGGCGAGACCGAATGAAGACATGGGCGTGCTCTTCTTTCAAGAAAATGACCGATGGACTATTTGCTGGCCGACGTCCGCTCAGTGCGTTTCGGAGCAAACGGCAAGACAAACGGGACAGACAGCCGATGGAAATCTGTCTCTGCTCGATTCACTTCCTTCCCTCTGAGGACATTTCCGAACTGTCGTGGACTTGAAAGACACGGATGCGATCAGAGGGGACTCTGGAGTTGGTGGTGCCATATACTTCTAAAGGGATACCGGTCGTCCGTATAGCATTTAACGTTTTGCTATGTCCTACAAGAAAACCACTGAAAATATCCTATACTGTAGTTTTGATTCCATTTGAGAAACTGTGCCTCACGTATTGTACTGATAAATCTTTCAAGTGCTTTTTAAATTATTTTTTTTCTTTTCTTTTGGAGAAGAGGGAAAAAAATGTCAAAGTAGTTATCAAGATCTATCTATTATACGATTTCTCTGAACTTGTATATACTTAAATATCCCTTTATGCCATCATCCATTCTTGGTAATTTATAATGTTATAGAGTATTTTACAGTATTCAGTCTTCTACACATTTTTAATTTGGTCTATTTATGTATGCTGTGTTATGAACTAGTAGCTGTCTTTTATTCCCTCGTGTAAGGTCACTGATGGCTGCTTTCAGCACCAAGGCTCTCTGTGCTTTTCTATGAAATAATAAGTTAAACATGATTTGCTAACATTCCCTAAATTGATCATTTGTACTGACGTACAGGTGACATCTCCATTTCAACTCCTGTCATCTGAGGGTGGGGCGTGTTGGGTTTTAACTTTGTGTGTGTCTGCAGTATAAATGTGTATGAATGAACCATGTTCACCTGCCTTTGCTACATGCACATCTTTGTAGATGTAAGTCAATTGTATTTAAGTATTTAAACGCATTAGAAAGCCTGTGTTTTGTTGGACGTGCACGATGCAAATTATATGAAACTACTGCTAGCAGCCCAGTATTCACCACTGTAACACCACCAGAATTTATACATTTGGATAACAAATTTTCATTCTGTCCACCATCAGTCTTAGAGCCTCTGTTTATTAGTTCTTGTTGTCTCTTCTCCACTATTAACATGTTTTTTTTGTTTTGTTTTCTGTGTATATGTAAAACAGTAAAGCATATTTATTTTCAAATCATATTGTTTTTTATATAAAATAAGGAAAAGTTTGCTGTGTTGTGAATGTGTTTCCATGTGATTTTAAGTAGACTACCATTTTATGGTTTTGTGAAGCAATGTGTTATTTTCACACAAACACACCTTTGGCCTCTGCAATGTAACGCGAAACACGAGAATACGATGGTGGGGGGGTTGCACGCTTCTCGTGACAGAAAAACACTCAGCCATATGAATAAACACGCACTTTGACAAAGTGTGCAGAAATTTATTGTAATTCTCAAAATCTGCAGGAAAAACACCAGTTTAAAAAATGGTTAAACTTTTGAGTTTGTTGAGGTTGTTCGGACGATCTCACCTGACTCACTGGGGGCAACTGTGATGCACTTGGCTGCAATTCAGTTTTAAGTTGCGCCAAGTCACAACATAGGGCGCTTTACAAACAAAATCTATCTAAGGATGCCAGCAGATTGTGTTGAATCACTTTGTCACACTTTGCTCACCATCCTGAKCAAGCGCATTTGGCAACAGTGGAAAGGAAAAACTCCTTTTTAACAGGAAGAATCGTCCAGCAGAACCAGACTCGGGACAGGCGGCCATCTGCCTCAACCAGCTGGAAGACAGGAAAGAGACCCAGAAAAACACAGGACTGTTCCAGGTGTATTTTCCTCTGGAAAAGAGAGAAAGAAAACATGGTATTGATAGAAATAATAAACAAACGTGTAAAAGGAGAGTGACTAAAGACAAGTAGAGTGAGGAAACGTCAGTTTGTATGGGATAAATCTTGTGCCAGCAGGAATTGAATTTGAATTGCTCGAATTGAATATGAATGTGCATAATTTGAAAATGAATACATTGGTTTGAAAATAAAATTTACTAAATTGAAACTAAATTGAATGATTTGAAAATGAATTTAAAGTTTTGAATTTGAATTAATTTGCTTTGAAACTATATTTTGCTAATTTAAAAATTCAGTTTGTCTACTTTCACTTTCAGTTCCATAGTTCAGATTTTTGTTTTAAGGGCTCGACACACGGGAGGCGACGTCGCTCGCTCTCCATTCATTTCCTACGGAGCCTGTACGGTGAGGCGACAATCGCTTGCCCTCCTCCAGCTAAGCAACGGCGAAAATAGTGCATGTGAAATTTCGCGTTTGAAAAATGTTCAACTTTTGTCGCTGTTACTTAGCGTACAACCAATCAGCGAGGGTTTCATTTGACCAATGAGAGGAGAGTATGCTACACACTGCTGTTAGCTAACACTTTCAACAAGTGATTATAAAAAGCTTTGTGGGAATTTGTTGGAACCAGGGTGAAGTTTATGGTAAGTTTTTCCTCATAAAACTGTATCTTGATGTGTGTTTGTTTTTCAATATCATTAGCATCGCAAGATTTGTTTAGTTTACACGTCCGTAATGCACACCCGCCTTCAGAATCAAGAACCAATCAAATTTTGTGAAGACAAGCGACCTGAGAGCGCGATTCGCAACACTGCGATCGCTATCGCGTCCCGTGTGTCGGGTTTCACCCTGCGATGACAGCCGTTAATCGCTGTAGTTTGTCGCTCCCCGTGTGTCGAGCCCTTTAATCGCTGTAGTTTGTCGCTCCCCGTGTGTCGAGCCCTTTATACGTCCTGGTCCTTGAGAAAGCCAGCCAGAGTAATCAAACACAGATCCACAGATTYATGTTTCACTTTGGTGAAGTTTCCCTTCTGTAATGTAACAGAGTTGATGCAATCCACTGTAAAAGTGACAAAAACAGACAGTAATTGTAGTGATTAATCTTACCTATAGATAATGTTACGTTTACATCACATCATGGATCAGACAGCAGCAGCATCTGATCAATATGTGATCCATGATGTGACGTAAATGTAACTTTTTCTACATATACTGTAGATAAAATTAACCACTGCAATAAAATAACTGTCTGTTTTTGTCACTTTTACAGTGGATTGCATCAACTCTGTTACATTACAGAAGGGAAACTTCACCAAAGTGAAACATAAATCTGTGGATCTGTGTTTGATTACTCTGGCTGGCTTTCTCAAGGACCAGGATGTGTGACAAAAATCTGAATCATGGAAATGAAAGTGAAAGTAGTCAAACTGAATTTTTAATAAACCAAAATACAGTTTCAAAGCAAATTAATTCAGATACAAAACTTTAATTTCTGTTTCAATTTAGTAAAATTCATTTTCAAACCAATGCATTCAACTTCAAAATWTGYACATTYAGATTCAATCTGAGCAATTCAAATTCAGTTCCTGCTGGCACAAGATTTATCCCATAAGTTTGTCCTCCAGCAGTATAAGCCTAGACCAGGTTTTCCCCAAAAATCACTTCAGTTAGCTACGTAGTCCACGTTGTTGACAACATGCAACTAAACATGTCATCGCTAGTCAGGTTGGGGAGGGGAGCAAAAAAAACTATGAAGGCGGAGTCTTTGCAAAGTTACACACTGAAGCAACATTACTTTGAGTCACCTCTGATTGACTGGTGTCATTACCACTGACGTGAATCACAGTATTTCAGTACTTAGCATTAGCCTTAGCCAGTGTTTTGGGGTAAGATTCAATGTCACCCACTCTGGCTTTTAGTATGCATCTCACTGTGGTCTCGTGAGTCTGTTGAGCCACGTTTCGGACTATGGAGCAATTGGTCTATTTATTAGCGTATGTGTCGCTGAGTGCAGACCATGCATTGATGACAATAGCACATTATTATTATTTATTATCTGATTAGGCTGTCTCCTTTCTGAAGTTCTGCAAGCATGTTTTACGAGTAAGCAGACCAGAACTTGCCCTTACCTTAATACTAGCTTTCCAGGAGGAACTGTGGAGATAGATGAACATGAACATTTGTATTATTTTGGAAAACTCATTCTCATGTTAGTTTATATTGATGGTTCCTAAACACTGATCCAGACCAGAATATCCCTTCGTTTGTGATATTCTTGTTGTAGTGCACTGTCCGTCTGGCATGAAGTGCACCTTTTAAAGTGGCAAATGACACCATATCGGTAGGTACACTCACATCTTCCTGTAAATCTGATTAGCAAGATAAAAACCTCCAGTTTGACGGCATATTTGCATATGAGACCAGGAAGACTCTTCATTCAAACCGTTTAACTGGAATTAGGCTTCTGGAAATATGATTCCGCCTTTAATTCAATACTTCCTTGACACTTGTGACTCGCTTCCTTTCTTGCAGTTGCTTGTACCGTGGACACATTTTGTTCCAAGGTAAACTTCATATATAAAACTGGCAGCCTTTATTCCAAAAACTGTTGAACACAAAGCAGTTTCAGCAGGTGCCTATCTGCAACCCCCAACACCAAATCCAACCCCTTTGATCGCAGATTAAGTGGAGGTTTTGGAATCTTAGGATGCATTTGTTTGGAAATTTTCGCCCCACTTAGCTCCAGTGCTTGCTGTTTCCTGCTGGATTAGCTACTGCTTGGTGGTAATGCCTGTGTGCAAAAGCCCTGCTCTCCCTCACTCATGCTCTTTACGTGCATACCTTAATATAATGCACACCATATAATCCCTGTAAATAATTGTGGGGCCCACCTCCCCTGGGTAAAACACCCCAAAGAATGTCAAAAAACGTCTAATCTGTGATTTACCGTGAGGCCAGAATGTTGCATGGCCTGTCTGGTAAATTTGTAAAAAAAATAAATAAAATAAAATTCTGATTAAATCACAGATGGTTGAGATGGACACAGTCAACTGCTGGAAAATGTGAGACATTCAACACCACAGTTGTTCTAAGTTCATCCACAGAAAGATGACAACTCATTACAAATATACGTTTGGATTTCATTGGTAGCCATGACATTTTTGAGTCTTGTATGAAGAAGAGTTATCTTTCCCACTAAATCAGCTGAAAACTGCCTTGACATGGTCTGACAGCCAGAGACCAGAGGACCAGATGTTCATCCAGATGTTTCCAACAGCCAACCTTCAGCTTACTATGAAGCCCCTGAAGGGACTTAAACCCATCCATTGACAATCAACTGTCAGAAAACCTGTGAAAACCTCTTCAGTCGTTTTGTTGATCAGTGTTTATTTTAGCCAGTTTACTATATTTAATTGGTATAAGGTTAGATGGAACAAAACAAACACTATATTTATTCAGAATTGTTTATCCAAGAAACTCAATTTTTCATAGGTGGGTGGGTTGGGAACTGAGTAAATTGCAGACCAACTGTGGTTCATGAAAGRCCAGCTTTAAATAGTTTTATTTTTCATCTATACTACCCTCCTGTTCTCCATATTCATGTTCACGTTACTGTTGCCTTCTGCTCTGGACCTGTGCACGAGTAGATCACACGTCCGAGCCAGCTGGACTTGGTTTCTGCGGTGCATTCAAGTGCTTTTTATTTGCTCAGCAGCCGACAAGAGCACACACAGTATGGCGTCCTGTCATTACCACTTGTTCCTAATGTTGCTGTGGTGTGGACAAGCTATTACAAAGCTCTTTACRTGTCGGGGATAATCACAACACACATCTACAACAAGGACAGATCCAAAGACTGAAATTAGTAAGTAGGATCTTGCCAATTTATTTGATCCTGGTGTCTTAAAAAAGTAAAAGAAGTTRCTTCTATTTTTGTGTTTTGGATATTTCAGTTTGTGGTAATTGTATATATGTATTCTGGTCTCATAGAGTATTTTATAAAGATGTAAGTTTTCTTTTTCCCTGACTGACTTAGAGGAAAATGGCTGAAAAAGCATTGATAGTGTAGCATTTTTTTTTTTAAATGTCTAAAAATCTGGCTTATTGTCTGCCAATTTTCATGCCAGAGTTTTTGGAGTACATGTTGAGGATGACTGTCAGCTACTAAAACACCACAGTTTAGCCCAGTGTCTGTAAATTGTACTAAGATATAGAAACGTATGTGTAGGGCAAAGATGGATCAGTGGTGGTGGCCGTTTAGAAATGGCTTAATTCCAAAAGTTAATTGATTGTAGATAATTACATTCTAAATGTTTTATTAGAATCTATTTATTGGTTCATGAGATATTTTGCTTACAGCACAGGTACACAATAAAGAAGATGAGCAAACACAATATTGCTCCACCTTTGCCTTCAGGTGATAACTTAAAACTTTTGCAACTCATCACCACCCACAGGTTTCCCATTAGTGAAATCTCTGGAAGCTGATAATTTACACAGAAACTGTTACAAAATTSCATTCACAAGAAATTCTTTGCTAGTTTCTTCTTTCAGCTCCAAACATGAAACTTGAAAGGGCCAATTCACTAAGATTCCAAATAACGAGCGCTAAATTGCTGGGCAAACTAAAAACAAATGGCATGTGCTATCAGTGGATGTGGTGTGTGTGACGCTCCTTGACCTGCCTTTCACATGTGCTATGTACGGATGCAAAAACAGCAACAACAGTCAGTTTCAGTTTTGATGAATAACTCCGAAGTGTTAAATGATTACGTTTGCATATCCTCCTGTTTTCTTTTTGTTTTTTGAGCGTTCCGATGATCATAATATTTTGCAGTTTCATGACACCAAACACAATGGAATGCGCCAGCTATTTTGCTTATTTGGTGGTTGCAGTCCACAGTTAGTAAACCAGCTTWGCGCTCAATCAGTTTCTATCATGTCCTGGGTCTTCCCCCAGGGTCTCCTCACAGTTGGACTTGCCTGGGAAA